TGGAGAGATGAGAGACTATGAAATGGAGAAAAACAGAAAGGGGAAGAGGAAGAAAAGAAAAGAATGAATAAATAAAAATTGGAAAGTTTAAAGAACCGCAAAGCTCCTAGGGATCCCACCAGTGCAGCTATGAGGTCTGGGGAAGTCGCTCTCAGGTGTTGCAGTACAGCTTGGCTAGAAGGCAAAGAGGTATACAACACCAGATATTCAGGGAACAGAAAGAGAAGGAAGATATAGAGAGACGAGAAACTGAGCAATGAAGAAAGACAAAAGGGAAAAAGAGGGAAAAGAAAACAAAGCAAATTTTAAAAAAAGAACAAGAAAGGCTGACAAAAAAACAGGAAGAAAAAAAAAACCAACGAAAAAAGAAATGCCTTCATGGATCCCTCTGCACTTCTGTGCAAGCCCAGTGGGAAGTCTTGCCACGGAGCACCACCTGGCCAGAAAGGACTCCCAACTCAAGAAAAGGAAAAGAAAACAAACAAACAATTCAAAACAAACAAACCAACAAAAGCCCCGGGATCCCACCAGCATGGCAGCCCAGACCGGGAAGCAGCTGCACACTCGAACGGAGGTCCACAGCCCCTCAGGAAGAAGCAAAGATGGCACATGGAGACAGGTATTTGAGTGAATGGAGGGGGAGGTGGTGAGAGGTAGGGAAGAAATCAAAAGAAGCAGAAAAAAAAACAACACTAGCAGCCAACAAATGGCACTCAGAGAGCCAGCTATTGCGGGCTAGTGTTTCTTGGACAAGAGACTGTGTCTGTGGGAAGCAGAGGGGTACGAGTGTGGGTGAAGAAGGGTAGGGAGTGGGAAAGGGTAAATCACAAATTACCGGAGGTCTGCAGCCCCTCAGGAAGAAGCAAAGATGGCGCACGGAGCCAGGCATTTGAGCGAAAGGTGGGGGAGGTGGTGAGAGGTAAAGAAGAAATCAAAAGAAGCAGAAAAAAGCAACACCAGCAGCCAACAAATGGCACTCAGAGAGCCGGCCCATTCAGGTGTGTGGAATCCAAGCAGCCGGTGTTTCCCGGTCAAGAGATTGTGGCTGTGGGAAGCAGAGGAGGCGGAGTCAGGGTGAAGAAGGGTGGGGTGTGGGAAAGCATATAACTCAAATTACCGGTTGTTTTGTCTCCTGCTGGATGCTCCGTGAGGTTGCTTTCTCGTACCCCCTGTTTGCTGGTCTCCGATAAGATGGCGGATCTGCACTGCATTAGCTGGTAGGGGACCTCTGCATGAATCTCTCCTCAGTCTCCATTCTCTGTCAGTTTCTCACTCCATTTGGTGCTTCACTGAGTTCTTTATCTCTTCATTTGATGTTTCAGGGTTTCAGGATTGTCGTATTGTCTGTTCAGCTTAGTTTTTCAGATGTTTGCTGTGGAGGGACAGCGTGGTGTTTCTGCCTAGAGCGCCATTTTGCCGAAACTCTAATCATAAATTTTGATGACTAAGAAAAGTCTGAATATGATAGATGTAATACTGTTAAAATTGTCTATAATAAAATATCTCTAAATATTACATGCAGATTGGACAGAAGTCAGGAGTCAGTAATAAGAAACCGCACAGTAACGACGTTCATCCTGCTGGGACTGACACATGACCCACAACTGCAGGTTTTAGTTTTTATCTTTCTCTTTTTCAACCAGATGTTGAGTGTAAGTGGGAACCTGACAATCATCACACTCATCTTCCTCGATTCCCACCTTAAAATAGCCATGTATTGTTTTCTACAAAATTTCTCTTTCTTTGAGATCTCATTCACATCTGCCTGTATTCCCAGATACTTGTATAACATAGAAACAGGTGACAAGCTCATTACCTATAATGCCTGTGTCAGTCAAGTATTTTTTACTGACCTCTTTGGTGTAACAGAATTTTTCCTCCTGGCCACCATGTCCTATGACTGCTTTGTGGCCATCTGCAAACCCCTACATTATGTAACCATCATGAACAGAACAGTCTGCAGGAGACTTGTCTTTTGCTGTTGGGTGGCTGGTCTGTTTCTTATAATCCCCCTATTCATCCTGGGCTTGAATCTCGAATTTTGCGATTCTAATACCATCAACCATTTCATCTGTGATGCATCTCCCCTCCTGAAGATCTCTTGTTCAAATACTTGGTTCATGGAACAGACTGTGATAATTTGTGCTGTGCTGACCCTCATTATGACACTTATGTGTGTCATTCTGTCCTACATTTGTATCATCAAGACAATTTTAGGATTCCCAATTGCCCAGCAAAAGACAAAAGCCTTTTCTACCTGCTCTTCCCACATAATTGTGGTTTCTATCACCTATGGCAGCTGTATTTTCATCTACATCAAACCTTCAGCAAAAGAATCAGTGGCCATTAATAAGGGTGTGAAGGTGCTCACGACTTCTATCGCCCCCCTGCTGAACCCCCTCATTTACACCCTGAGGAACAAGCAAGTAAAACAAGCCTTCAATGACTCAGTCAAAAGAAATGCATTGTTTTTAAAGAAGTAAGAAAATTTGCTGATATAGAGCAATCAAGATTTTACTAAAAGATCATTAGTCCCTGTGTGTGTGTGTGTTTGTGTGTGTGTGTGTGTGTGTGTGTGTGTATTTAAGCTTTTACTTCTTTCCTTTCTTGGAAAGGATCTCTTTTGGATTACGTTTCTAAATAAGAGAATGTAATGCATTTTTAAGAAACAAAAGAATGACTTCATATTTAAACAAGCTTTGACAAAACTGCATTATAATAGATAAATAGAATCAATGAGCTTATCGTATATTTTGGATACAATCATTGTGCCCATTGCAGTTTCCAATTGTATCTTCTGAGGACTTTATTAATTATTTTTTTTAACGCCGGGCACTATTTCAGGCAATGAGAATAGAATGGAGAAAATATTCAAAATTTTGTTGTCCTTTCATTGCTTTTATTTTAGCAAGTGAATGATCAGCATGTTAAATAAAATACGAATACAACAAACAGCAAATACCAAGAAAATAAAAGTTGAAAAAAGGATTATAGTACAAATTATTATATCTTAATTTATAAGCTGAATTAAAAAGTGAGTCTATAATTTTGAATACTCTCAAAATCACAAGACTAACAGATTAATTTGAACAGATAATATGTGACATAAAAGTGCTGAATGTTCTTAACATACAAGGAAGTTTTAAGGAAAATGATTCTATATCTACATTTTTATTTGTCTCTATACTTTTGTCTATATCTCTATGCATTAGCTCTTGAGAAATTTAAATGATTAGGGGGTTGCAAAAACATCTAGATGCTGAAATAGAAATTGAAGGAAAAACATGGAATGTATAAAAATTAGACACACAAACAACTACAATGCAAAGGAAAACATGGAAGACCTAGAGAGAGAAACCGAAAACTAATCCGGCAAAAATGCATGGCAATCTGACCAGAAAGAGAGAGACAGAGGGAAAAAAATGATAAGGTAATAATTGGCTGTTTTATGAATGAAGAGGGAAAATGAGTGTCAAACTAATTTTCCTCAAAGAAACAACTCTATATAACAACTTGTTAAATTCCTCATAAACTTCTTGACTCTGATAAAAATGATCTTTCCTTCATTTTTTTTATCTGACTAATACATAATCACATAACACATCACAAATCTCAATACACTGAAATTTTTCTTTTACTTGTTCACGTTCCTCAGTTGGTGGTGAAGGCTATGAAGGCAGAAAACTTGTCTGTGTTGTTCCCTTGTGCATTTAAACCAGTCAGCAAAATGTCTGGTACATAGTATGCAAACTTCAAATAGGTTGAAATGACATCTCCCACAAAAAAAGGAGATCACTTTAAAGAATAAAATGCAAACAAATTAATTCTGACTTTAAATAATAAACCAGAGAATAAAATGGCATGGTAGAAGTAGGATTAGTATTAAAGATGATCTTCAAATATTGAATTAAGACTATTGCTAAAGATGTTTATGTTGGAATTGTGTGAAAATGATTATAGCAGCTACCATTCACAAAATCACTGTAGACCTATCACTTTTTTTAAGTAATTGAGTATTCAGAATCGTATTTTTAACCTATTTTGAGATAGTTGTAGGTTCACATGCAGTTGCAAGAAATAAATAGAGAAATGCCATAGATGGTTCACTCCGTCTCACTCAATGGTAACATTCTGCATAACCATAGTACAGTACGACAAATAGGAAATTTTCATTAATAACAATATGCACTCTAACTCAGGCTTCACCAGTTTTAATGCAACTCTTTGTATTTGTGTGTGTTCTGTTCTATGCAATTTTACCATGCGTGTAGACTTATGTAGCCAGCACCACAGTCAAGATACAAAATACTTATATCATGGAAATGATCCCAAGTTTTTCCCTCTTATAACGACACTTATTTCCCTCCTACTACTGCCTGACCTATCCCTTATCAGCTAGCTAGAAACCATAATCTGTTCAGCATTTATACAATATTGTCATTTCAAGAAGGAAATCATATGGAAATCATCTAATATGTAACGCTTTGAGATTATCTTTTTACACTCAGCAAAATTTACTAGAGATTCATCCAAGTTGTTGCATGTTTCAACAGATTATTTCTTTGTATTTCTGAGTGATATTCCGTGATATAGATGTACCACAATTTGTTTAAGCATTCATTTATTGCAGGACATCTGTATCACTTCCCAGGTTTTGGCTATTATAAATAAGCTTCTAACAACATCCATATGCAGGTTTTTATGTGTATAAATTTCCATGTCTCTGGGATAAATATTCAAAAGTGCAATTGCTGGATTGTATTGAAGGAGCCCTGGCAGTGCCATGGTTAAGCTCTGAGCTGCTAACTGAAAGGTTGGCAGTGTGAAACCACAGCCACAGAGCGGGAGAAAGATGTGGCGGTCTTGGAAAGATTACACCTTGGAAACTCCATGGGGCAGTTCTACTCTGTCCTACATGGTCACCCTGGGTTTGATTCAATTCGACGGCAATGAGTTTTTATGATATGACTAGTTTTTTTAGGACACTACCCAATGAAAACTGTTTGTTCAATTGCATAGTTAGGGTTTTTTTGTTGCTGTTGTTTAATTGTTTTGTTCTTTTCAACTCCCTTTAAAAAAAAGTTGTTTAATCCTATCTACACTTCACAGAAAGGTAAACTGAAACTCAGGAGAACTAAATAATTCTAGTAAGTGGTGCATTCAGTAAGAAAATCCATTTTCGTCTGGCTTCACCACTTGTGCTTCTTATATTTTGTGACACTCCTGTGACACATATTCGACATCAAGATGTCCTCAAGAGGCACTTTAGAAATGTCTAAATGTTCAAAATGTAGGCATTGTTTAAATCATGAAAACTGCAAAATTGGCATAGATTTTATTGAGGTAAAATTGTAATTATGTAAACTATAGCATGACAGTCTGGAATGGTGGCATGAGGAACTTCGCAGACCCTCTCCCCAGTAAACATTCATAACTGGTAAAAATTATTTTTTAAATGACCACTTAAGCCTCAGGAAGGGTAAAAGCAAATGAAGAAATATTAATTCAAGAAAATCTATTAAGTCTTAGTAAGAAGCATGAGAGTCTATGGCATTAGAGCCACAATGTGATACTTCCCTACTCTCACCTCCCCATTTAGCTTGGTGTGATGGAAGCTTCAGTCTAGGCAGGAGTGGTCAATAAGATGGTGCTCCCCCTCCCAATAGCTCCGGTGTGGTAACTACTAAGAGGGGCAAGCTGCCAGAATTTCTCATCCTCCTCTGCTCTGTGTTTAAGAAAACCTAATCCAGCCAAGTCTGTGAATAGATCTGGGGCTTTCTTCTTCTTCCACTCAATCCTGATTTGTAGGATCGTAAGCTCTTTCCAAAGTACAGCAGGCCAAAAAAATAGGGCCACAATTTCCTTCTCTCTAAGTCAATCATGTGGGAGAAATTCCATGCCAGAAAAGGCAAGTCAGGAAGAATAGAGTCTACTGCCCCTACCCAACACACTACTCATAAAGTAAGGATGTTTCTCTGACATAAATGGGTCATTGTCCTTGTCCCTAAAACTGGAGCAGTGGCACAGAGAGTCTCGTCAGGGGAGAAGCAGACCATGGGTACAAAGAGCTCTGAAGTTCTGCCAGAGGGATTTGGCTTTATTTGAAATAGTAAGCTTCAAGTTAAAGGGCACTATTGAAAATAATGAGGATTTGGGGGGTAAGCAATTAAGAGGAGACTGGTATCTCCATGAAAGCAACAACCTAAGTCATAGACCAGCTATAAGTGTACCAGAGAGAACCAGGGAAAGAGACAACTAAGAAGTGCCTTTCTGGAATCAGAACAAACCTCAAAGACTGGCCTCAAAGACTCCCTGCAATACAAACTCAACTTAATTGGTTAAGATTGTGGAGCAATTAATAATCCAGGGCAATGTCAAAAACAATAGCTCAATCAGCACGAAATTAATGAGCTAAGTGTGATACCTACAGAGACAGACAGCTTAACAGAGAGATCAGAGAAAGAGACCATCAAAAAGAGCCCTGCTAAAACCACTGTCATCCCAAGCTGACTGCACATCCCAAGACTGTACCCTATAAGGAGCTACAACAGAGCCTGCTCACTGCGAGAAGATAGAAGTTATAAAAATATTCCATCCAAGTCACTAAACAAATAAACAAAACAGCAACAAGTCTTATTGGAGGATGAGGGATTCCCATATTCAGAATTGCTACAATATATTATCTAAAATGTCTAATTGTGAAAACAAGTTATGAAACATGCAAAGAAACAAGAAGGCTTGATCCAGACACAGAAGGGAAAAAAAAAAAAAGAGAAACTACCTTTGAAAGGGCCCATAAATTGGACTTCAAAGCAGTTATTATGAATGTGTTCAAAAAACTAAAGGAAAAGATGCTTAAAGAATTAAAGGACATAAAGTGACAATGTCTTAACAAATAGAGAATATCAATAAAGAGAAATAATTTTTAAAAGAACCAGTTGGAAATTCTGGAATTTAAAAGTACAATAACTAATAAGAAAAATTCACAGAAAGAAATAGAAAATCTGAATCAACACGTAACAAAGAGGTTGAAAAGCCAAAGCCCACATAGCGTTACTAGTGGATTCTACCACATATTTAAATAAAAAATAATCATTGTAAAAATTTTTCTGTTGATTATGAGATAAATAAAAATGTATTTTACTTTCCTGCAAAGCCCTTCCCATTTTGACATCAAAGTTATACTGGCCTTATAAACAAGTTAATAGTTGTTCTTTTTTCTCTTCTCTGGATAAGTTTATATAAAATGAGTCTTTTTTTATTCTTTAAGTGTTTGGAAGAATTTGCTAGCGAAGTCATCAGAGTCTTAATTCTTTTTTTGAGAATGGTATTAATTATGGATTTAATGACTTGATCTGATACTGGAATATTCATATTTTCTCTTTATTTTTGTCTGAGTTTTGTTAAGTTGTGCTTTTCGCTAATGGTTTATCTATGTAAATGGTCAAATTCTTTGACCGGATGTTTTTCATGATGTACTCAG